TTAACTGCCTGCCAGAGTCAGTTTCTGTGGCTCACAACCAGACACCCTGGAATGATGAGGAATCTCAATGATCCCTAGCAGAATCCAGCTAGCATCTGGCCTATGCCAGTGGCTTTGCCCTGTGGTCACAGCTCTGCCCGGGCCTTCAGAACACCAGCAAGACTCCCCACCGGGGCAGTCCAAGTGCCCCTCCTCCATCCTCAGCTTTCTGCCTCAATTCCCTACTGGGAAGAGCCCTGGATGTCAAGGCTGGTTACCCTCACACCTGACCCTGGGCAGGTCCCTGGGCATGCAGTCTCAGAGCGGGCAAGCCTGGGGCCATGACCCCACCTCCTACAACCCCCCCACCCACCTGCTTTCTCTGCAGACTCCTTTCCCTCAGCACATAGCCATGCCCAAGGCCTTTATCAGCTTCCCTTCCCTGACCTTGGGCTCCCCACACTGCTCTATTCTTTGTCTGGAAACGTCTTCCCTTCCATCCTACCTGGTGGGTCTGCTGATGTGAAACCAAACATCATTTCTCCTGCCTCCTCCCACTTGGCCTGCCCTTGGCCTTCGGACAAGGGACTGAGTGCCACTTTCTCCTTCCTGAACCCCACCTTCAGTTAACTCAACCCCATTCCTCCCCGAGCTCCTTCCCAGGATGCTCTGCCTTCACCTGCCCCACACCTGCAGCTGGTCCCACGGCCTCCAGCCTCAGCCTTCTGCCGTTCTTCCTCCTCACACTCGTCTTCCATCCCACCATGGCACTGGCATCTCCCGATCTCCACCCAGACCTCACATTGGTCCCACACCCCTTCGTCCACCCGCCTGCAGCAAATACCTCCACAACCCACCGGCACTGATCCCTGCCATGCTGGGAATTCACTGGTGAATAGGACGGACTCGACCCTCACGGAGCTTACACTCCAGCAGGGGAGACGGACAGTGAGCAAGCAGACAGGGAAACTTCAGATACAAACAGACCCCTTAACAAATATCGAGCAGGGTGATGAGAGGGGGATGCTGGGGTTGGAGGTGAGCTTTAGAGCGGGCAGGAGGGAGGGTGGGGGCATTTCAGCTGAGGTTTGAATGATGAAAAGAGCAAGAGGGACAAGCCTGTTCCAGGAGGAGGGTTGGGCAGAGGCAGAGGCCCTGACACAAGACCACGTCTAGTTCAAGGAACAAACTGAAGGGCAGACAGCCCGGACCCACAGGGCCCTGGAGGCTGTGGAGAGGAGACGAGACAGTACTCTAGCAGCAGTCAGAAACCGCGAGCCGGATGGCCGGGCGCGGTGGCTCATGCCTGTAATCCCAGCACTTTGGGAGGCCAAGGCAGGCGGATCACCTGAGGTAAGGCGTTCGAGACCAGCCTGACCAACATGAAGAAACCCTATCTCTTCTAAAAATACAAAATTAGCCAGGTGTGGTGGCACACACCTATAGTACCAGCTACTTGGGAAGCTGAGGCAGGAGACTCGCTTGAACCCGAGAGACGGAGGTTGCAGTGAGCCAAGATTGTGCCATTGCACTCCAGCCTGGGCAACAAGAGTGAAACTCTGTCTCAAAAAAAAAAAAAGAAAAGAAAAGAAAAAAAGAAACCACAAGCAGGTTCCAAGCAGAGCAACACCAGGGTCTGCCTGACATTAAACATGAAAACCTCTGGGCCTGTTTCACAGGCATCCTCCCTTAGGCCACCTTGACCCAAACCTGAAATCTTCTCTCCAGGCCCCAAGTGACCCAGCCCAGTCAATTCAGCCTCTTGACTTTCCCAGCAGCCTTCCTCACCTTTCCCACCTCACCATCCCAGCTTTGCCCCAGCCCTGCCCCCGTGCCAAACCTCCAGGCCCTACCCCTCACCTACCCTCCACACATCAGCCAGGCAAGCGGTCTCCAGGACAGAAGCCAGATCAGACTCATCACCTGAAGCCCTCACTTCTCCATGCCGCCTTAACATAACACCCCACGCTCCGCCCCAGCAACAAACCCGGGGCTCTCACACCTGCTCCCCCTCGGTATTTGAGGTTACTTCTGCTCACAGCTCTGCCTCACCTCCACCCTCAGCCCACAGGGCTGTCACCTTGGCTCTGTACTTTCTGGCTGTGTGACCCTAGGTAAGTGACTTAACTTCTGAGTGTCTATTCCTTCAGTTTCCCCATCTGTAAAATGTAGATAATAAGGTAGTTGTGAGAACACAACAAATTGAACTGATTGTATCTGCCTAACAGCCCTCACGGGCAGATTTTTTATCATCCCCTCCCAGGCAGGAAAGCTGAGGCTTGGAGAGGAGAGGTGACTTGCCCAAGGTGTCCCAGCCAGGCCTGCTACAGCCAGGCCTTCTGACTTCCTTGCCAGTGCTCCCACACACTGCCCACACCCTCAAGAGCCCAGCGCTGCAGTGCAAGGGCACCCACCCCACCAGTGAGCTCAGTGGCACGTGGGTGGAGGGCAGTGCCACTGAGTCTTGCGGAACACAAGTGGAAGGGCCTGGCATCTTGACCCAAGGCCTCAGGAGCAGACACTGCAGAGGCCACAGCTTTGGAGAGATGGGAAAAAAGACTTGGCATGGCCCAGGGGGACAGACGCCACCCTGGGAGGGGCACTAGCTTCTCCCCTCCCCCGTAGGGGCAGCTCTGCCCAGGAGCCTGAGCTTGTCAGCTGTGGAATGTTGAATTCTGTTCCCCAAGGCCAGCTCCCAGGCTCTCAACCGGGGAGATCCCCTCCCAGCCGCCAAGGACTCGCTATTGCCCCTCCCTGCCCATCCTAGCAGGTCAGCCTCCTTGTGCGGGACTGGGGTAGGGAGAGGGCTGTGACCCACCCCACTTTGCAGGAGCCTAAGGTGAGGCACCTGACCCAGGTACTACTGGAAGGGAAAGGAGGCCGGGCAAAGGGCCCGGCGGCTCCCTTCACGCCAGAATCTCCTCCCTGCCGCCTAAACCAGTGGTGGGGCTTGGCACGCATCCCACATCCCAGGGAGGGAAGGAGGGCTGGGCGAGAGAGGGGGCAACCTGCACCTAGCACGCCCCTAGGGTCTTCAAGGAAACACCTTCCCTTTCTCCACAGGGCCTCGGGATTACTCAGGGAGACTCCCTACCCCAACCCCCACCCCACGCAGTAGCTGGGACCCGCCCCCAGCAATCCGGGCCTCTGTAGCTACCTCGGGTAGTCCTGGAAGTGGGCGTGGGGGTGGCAGAACTGGGGGGATGGTCCCGAGCTCCAAACTCTTGGGGCAGGGAGTGGTCTCCCCTAGCAGAAGACTGAATCTCCCTCTCCCACCACCCCTCAGCGCAGGGCAAAGCGCAGACCCCGCGCTCACCCAGAAGACAATGTTGAAGCCAAACAGGAAGTATTTCCCGCAGCAGCCGACCTCGGGTTCCTGGAAATGCTGGTGCTTGCCGGGCATGGTGAGCGGCCACCCGCCGGCCCGGAAACTGGAGCCGGGAGCCAGGCCCAGCACCCCGCGGGCCGCCCTGGGCTAGAGCCGCCCGGGGCCTAGCCGGGCGGCTGAGGCTTCATCGCCTCGGCCACACAGAGCGCCGGTCGGGCCCCGCCCGCCCCTCAGGGACCGCCCTCAGCATCCAGACCGCCTTGCCCGGAGCCCTGCTGTCCCCGCCTCTGTCCAAGCCCCGCCTCTGGACGGGGCTCCGCCTCTGCATCAGGCTCCGCCCCATAGCCCTCAGTCCCTTTGGAGCCCCGCCTTCTCATATGGCTCCGCCCCCATAGCCCAACTCAGTCCCGTCTGAGCCCAGCCTCTGGATCTGGCTCCGCCCCCCGAGCTCCGCCCCCGCAGCCTGATTCGGACCTCTTCGCAGCCCCGCCTTCGGCCAGGCCCCGCCCCCGCGCCGGCCGCCGCCGCCGCGTTTCCCAGCGTCCCGCAGACCCGCCTGGGACGCTAGCTGATGGCACCGGAGGCTGCCTTGCTTCCCCTGCTAGGTACCAGCGCCATCCCGATCCCCAGCCTGCTGTTGGAGCCCATCCCAGGGGAAGATTAACTGCGGCTCTGGCAGGCGAATGGGGAAGCTGGTCCGGATAGAGTTTTTAACACGTGCAGGACGTTTTATCATTGTGGAGTCGCATCAGGCTCACCTTCACCCAGCGGAAATTCAGCTCTACTTATTCTGGCTCAAACTCAGGCCAAACGAGGGCCTGGGCCTTGGTGCCACGCCGGCTGCACCCTGCCAAGTGCATATACCCCAGCACCTGGCTTAATCCTCTCTGGTGGCTGAGTTCCCAGGCGCACCCCCTATCCTCCATACTGGCCTGGGTCCTGGTCAGGCTCCTTGATACCCAGTGATCTCACATGAGCCCCTGTAAGACAGGACACGGGCAGATCAAAGTTTGGGGGAACCTGAATCTTACTCCAGTTTGAAGCCCTCTTAAAAATAATTCCAACTTTGTTCAGAAGTATTTATTTAAAACAGGAACAGAAACATGCTTAAGCTTTTATTATCAAGTTTATCCACTTCTACCAGAACCTTGGTGAGGTCTAGCCCAGCATCCCCCCACCTCCACTTCAGTCTGGTCCTGAGGCAGGCAAGGCCCAGACAGCCTGGCCACAGCTAGTGAGAAGGGGAGCGGCCTTGCAAGGCTCTCTCAGTCCTCAGCAACCCACATATCCCTCTGTACAAATGATGGCGTTCACCCTCCAGAGTGTCTGTGCCCTTGAGCCCCCCACCCATGGGAGAGTCTGTCTCTCAGGTCACCTCGCCCCCTTCTTGGGTAGAAACAGAGTAAACACTGGACTATGGGCTTCTCCACCTACCATAGAGCTCTCCTTGCCCCCCATGACTCACCCCACCCCCGGGAGTTTCCTACACCCCGCTGCTGTCCTGTAGCCCCGGGACAAGCTAGGTCCTCAGACTGCCACCCCTACCCCCACCTGGCCCCTAGGGCCCAGGCCCCAACTCATGTTAAAGAATGTTTGCATTCCTGTTCACTTGAGGACAGGTAAGAACTAGGCTGTCTGATCCCCAGTCCCACCCCACCCCACCCCCCCAAAGTAATGAGGCTCGGGTGGTGGCTGTCCCATTACATAGAAGGGGTGCCAAGGCCCCCTCACACCACAAACTTGTTCTTGGCTAAGGAGTTGCTCTTGGTGGCTGTGTCTGCGTGGGCCTGGTACCCAATGATGGTCTTCGGGGAGAGGCCCAGGCGCTCTTTGTATACACGCCTGCAGGTGCAGGGGACACAGGAAAAGAGACACAGGTAGTCATCAGAGGGTCCTAGAGGTAACCTAGGCCACCAGACTCCTACCCTCATTCTGGCCACAGCCACACCTGTTGTGTCTTACCCATGTGGAAAAACAAAACATGACCCCCTTAATGCAAAAGGAGAACTGCACTGCCATAATAGAAAGTTAGAAATCTGGACACCAGACGCTTCCAAACAGGTGGGCAAGGCAGAAAGGAGACAGGCTAAGGAGACTTCCAGAGGTCTCCCTTGCAGGCCAAGCCACCTCCACCCACCTTCCCTCTAGAAGAGACCCAGCCCCCACCCCGTGCCAGAGAACCTCCTCACCCAATGTGCAGCACGCCCGCCTGGTTTTCTGCCTCCCTCGTCCACACAGCGATCTTGTCCCCCTTGGTGCGGATGTTGACGACGGCCCCACATACCTCCCTGCTGTGTTCCTCAAAGCTCTCCCCGATCAGACACAGCAGCTGGACCCAAAGTAGGGAGTTGTGAGATCACTGGCTGGGACATAGGGACTGGCCTGCCATCCTTGAGACCACTGCCACCATGAGACCCGCACAGCCCGTCTCTTCCCCTGAGGACCCTCCTCCTCCAACTCACCGTCTCCAGCCACAGCCGGTCCAGCTCAATGTGGCGCTGCTGCTTGGCCAGGCTGACCAGCCAGCGGCCACCCCGCTTATTCCTGCTGTCCTCCCACATGGGCTCGATGCCATCCTGCAAGGCAGATGGCAAGTCAACTGCCTCCCTGTGTTCAAAGGGAAGTGGGGACCCACCTACCATCCCAGTCTTATCCACTCTCTGCTGAGGCCCTAAGTAGGCCAGATTCTCTTATCCTCCTTCCCTCCATGCAAGCAGGTTCCACCCCCAGCAACTCAGCCCCCGGACAGACAGCACTGGTCACCTTGTATAGTGTTGTATATGTGCATGTCTCCTTTACTGAGTTCCTAGAGACGAGCATTCAAATGGGGGTGGATTATGGAAGCCTCAGGGAGCAGACCCCAGTGCAGGCAAGGGGGACATCCCGGGCTTGGCTGCATGGTTCCCAGGCAGGGCAGAAGTCACCTGGGGAGATCTCTAAATGTCAGCCCTCCAGGGATAGGTGTGGCATCAGTGAGTGTCCTCAAGCAATTCTGATGCCCTTCCCTAGTTAAGGAGCCAGGCCAGAAATCTCTCTCCCTCCCTCTTCCCCTTCCTGCCTCTTAAGGTCCTCCAAGGTGCGACTTGGGCCTGACCTACTCAGTATGGGCTCCTGTAAAGCGTTTCCTCCAGTCAGAAACTGCAACTGTGCTGAGAGGTGGCCCGTAGCTCCCCACCCCCACCCCTCTGAAGGATTAATGCAGTGGAAGCCGGGAGGGATCAACCCCTTGTCCCTTTGCGGGAGGGAAAGGGAGCTTACCTTGAACAGGGCATAGTCACAGCCAGAGGAGAGCTTGCTGGCCAACTGGATGTGACTGTAGAGCCTGGACAGAGCCCCCCGCCCCCCCCCATGCCAAAAGTCAAGGCTTTTTAGGGCCTGGTTCCAACTGGGCTCAGCCCTCTCAACTCCTCATCCGACCCCATGGCCTCCAAGCTTTTGCTTACACTGGCCTGCCACCTGGGATTTCACCCCCCGTTTATCCGAACTCTCAAGACCCACCTTCTCCACGGAGCCTTCCCAGTGAAGTCTGAGCCAACCCCTGGGGAGGGTTTTCAACCCCCTCGTGCGCCCCCCTCCAGCTATAGCTGAGGCCTTCTCGCCCTCCCTAGGGCTTAGTGCAGCCCTTTTCAGAGCCACTCCTGTGAGCACCTGGACACTGGGGCAGCCGAGTCCTCCCCTTGCAGCTGAGACAGGTTGAGAGAGGGGAAGGAACTTGCCCAGGTCACAAAGTCATGGAGTGGCTGAGTCAGGGTCAGCTCCCTGCTCCTCCCGCTCCCCAGGTTCTCTCCCTGAGCCCAGAGAAGGTGGTGGGGTGGGGGGTGGCTGTGCTCTACACCCCCTGGGCAGAACCCACCGAGACCCAGCCCTCACCAAGGCTGAGAGGCCCTAGGGAGGGCTGGCTCAACCCAGAGAGAGGGAGCCCAGAGCTCAGAGACCCCCAACTCTAGCCCCACTGGGGACAGACACTCACGCCCAGAAGCCCTCCACACTGTCCACCTTGGTGACCAGGTGCAGGTTGTCCTGCCAGGCCCGGCTGCGGTCATTCTTGAAGAACCACAGAGCCCACCTGGTGGGGGAAGCGGGAGGTAGCCAGGCGGAAGCAGAGAGCTCCTGAGTCCACCCCCGGGACACGTGGACTGACAGGGAGGACCCTCCCCTTCAAGGGCGAACCGAGAGATGAGATTTGGGGCACAGAATTCCGCTCTTAGGTGAAAGAAATCAGTTGTCCTGAAGGGCAGGGGAGGAGTGGGGGTGTTTGACCCACAGTCTCTGAGGGGTTAGGGCTGGAAAGGTCAACAGGGCCCAAGGCTTAGGTCAGCTCTGGCCTTCCACGGATGAAGAGCTAGGGCTGAGAAAGGAGGGGTTGCCCAAGGCCACGCTGCCAGCACAGAGGCTGGCCTGAAAGCAGGGGGCTGTGTTCCACCCGCAGGTTCCTTCCTACCTGTTCTGCAGGGGGTGCAGCTCCAGCTTGACTTCCATGGGGATCCTCATCTGGGCCTTCCCTCTCAGAGACAGCAAAGTCCTGGGAGAGTTTGGAACCTCTTCTCCCATGGGCGTCCTCTCTGCTGCTTTCTCCTCCTTCTCCTTCTCCTTCTCCTCCTCCTCCTCCCACTCTTGGATTCCACCCTTAGCTTCACTCACCTGAGCAAAAAAAAGAGTCAGGATAGGTGAGCTCTGGCCCTGGCTGTCCCTGTGCCCACCCTGCCCGTCCACTGCTCCAGGAGGGGAAGGCAGGGGCACTCACAAGGCCTGCAGTAGCCATGCCCAGCTCAGGCTCCATGGAGGACCCAGCATCTGAAAAGCCCCCAGCTACCAGCTTTTAACCCACCAGCACCTGCCCCGCCCACCTGCAGCAGGGGAGAGGGCGGGGCCATGGTGCATTGGGGTAGAGAGGCCAGCCTGATTACCTCAACAGCAAACATTTAGTGAGTGCCTTCTCCACGCAGGCCTGGGGCTGGGGAAGCAGCTGTGACCAAGCCAACCCAGCCCCACACTGTGGGGGCCAAGACGTGAAGGTAAGGGTCAATATTTGGAGTCTGCCCGAAGGGAAAGCAAGGTCTGCATCCCATAGAGGGTGACCCCAGAATGTGAGGTGGACGGCCCTGCAGATGGCAGAAGCAGAGACACTGACATGGCCGTGGGGCCTCTGGCACCATCCCCGTCCTCGCATCAGAGCAGGTATTCATCTGGTCTCTGGAAGCACCTGAGTTTGTTTGTTTGTCTGTTTGTTTTTAAATAAAATATTTTTTTGACTAGAGATGAAAGGATCTCACCATGTTGCCCAGACTACCCTTGAACTCCTGGGCTCAAGTGATCTCCCATTTCAGCCTCCCAAAGTGCTGGGATTACCGGCATGAGCCACCATACCCAGTGGCATCTGAGTTTTTTAAAAGTTTAATCATCTGCCAACATTTAGATATAGAGGGATTTTAAAGTAAGATTCACATTTTTGGTTTCTCTTGAGAATTTGGAAAGATCCTCCTGGACCTACTGCCTCACAGGCCCCTAGTCCCTTTGGAGACACATGAGGCTCCCTACAGCCCCCACCTTACCTCCTGCCCCACCTGAGTGTTCTCTGCCTGACATGGATGGTGAGGGTCAGGGCCGCAGCCACACAGCCTGGGTTCCAGGCCTGATTCTAGCCTGACTGCAGCCAAGCCTGCGCTTCATCGAGTCAGTTTCCCCATCTGTAAAATGAGAACTCAGAAGCTTGTTGAGGGTATTACATGATATAGAACCCATAGAACAAGGCCTGGCTCCTGCTCAACAGAAGTCAGCTGAGGGTTCTCCCAGGCTGGGGAGGGTGGGGACTGGGATAGGGAAGGAAGGCGGGGAAGCTTTGGACACCTTTCTCAGCCTTCTGAATGACCCCTTTTCTGTGGAGGCTGAAGCCTCCCCAGGTCCTTTAAAGTTTTGCATCCTCCCCTTGGGCACTTTTAGGATCCCAGACGTATAAAAGGCCCTACTCCTCCCCGGCTCGTGACCATCTGGAGGCTGAGTATTTGCTCAACCCACATCCTTAAGCCCTCATATGTGCTAGGCACAGGGTTAGGTGCTGCTACCGTGATGAGCAAAAAACAAGCGGGCTCTGCGCTCAGGTTTATGAGATTATGCATCCATCAGACAATCTGTTTCATCACAAACACAACCCACTAAAGGAAAGGGATTCAGGGCTGGGAGAACCTAAAAAGTCCACGATCCAAGCTGGGGCTTCAGAGCAGCAGTTCTCAGGTGTGTACATCAGAATCACCTGCACGGCTCACTCATCACACACTGCTGGGCCCTGTCTCAGAACTTCTGACGCCTTAGTTCTGGGCTTGGGCCTGAGGATGTGTCCGTTTTATTTATTTATTTATATTGTTTTGAGGCAAGGTTTCACTCCAGCTGCCCAGGCGGGAGTGCAGTGGTGGCATCTTGGTTCACTGCCATCTTGACTTCTCGGCTCAGGTGACTCGCCCACCTCAGCCTCCCGAGTACCTGGGACTACAGGCATGCACCACCATGCCCAGCTAGTTTTCGTTGTTGTTGTTGGTTTTGTTTTGTTTTGTAGAGGTAGGGTTTCTCCATGTTGCCCAGGCTCGTCTTGAACGCCTGGACTCAAGCAATCTGCCCACCTTGGCCTCCCAAAGTGCTGGGATTACATGCGTGAGCCAATGCGCCTGGCCCAGGATGTTTGTATTTCTAACAAGTTCCCAGATGCTGCTGGTCAGGGACCCTGTTTTAAGAACCACTGGGTTGGAAGAAGCTCACTGAGAGGTGGTATTTGAGCTGAGACCTAAAGTATGAACAAGAAATAATAGGAAATAATTCACTGGGTCGGGGAGGGCATCTCTGGGAGTGGGAACAGTATGTGCAAATGCCCTGGGGCAAAGGGAATGTGGAATACCAGAGGATGAGAAGACAAGCCAGTGTGGGCGAAGCCAAAGGGGGAAAGAAATGGGTAAGCCTGATCCTAGGAGCAGTGGGGAGCCACTGAGCATTTCGAGTGTGTGCAGACTGGCTGGGGAGGCCATCAGATATGCTTTTCAGCAGGTTCTCTGGATTGCTGTGTGGGAAACAGAACCCTGTGGCTGCAAGAAGATGTAGGGAAACACTGACTAGGATGCTAATGTCGTCGTCCAGGTGACGGATGGGATGGCAGAGAAGATGGAGAGATGATGATAGATTCAAGGGGTATGTAGAAGGAAAACTCAGTGATATTTGGTAGGCCCTGGAGGGGTGAAGCACTATGTCCCACTTATCTATTGCTGCACAATAAACCACCCCAAACTTAGTGGCTTAAAACAATCGTCATCATTTATTATGCTCACAAGCCTGCAATGTGGGACAGCCCAGCTCTCCTCCAAAGGGAGGTCAGCTAGGGTGGCTTACAGGTTGGGGCTGGAGTCATCTGCTCACTCACACGTGGGGCAGCTGATGCCAGCTGTCCGCCAGAGCCTCAGCTGGGGGTGCTGGCCAGGATCGCTCTGCGTGGCTTCTCCATGTGGCTGCTTGGCTCCCTCACGGCGTGGTGGCTGGGTTCCCAGAGCAAGCCTCCCAGGAGACAGGAAGCAGAAGCTGCCAGTTTCTTAAGACCTGGGCCTGAAACCTGGCACCACATCAGACCCACTGTATTCTACTAGAGTCACAGGCCCAGATTCAAGGGAGGGGACATACTGCCACCTCTCCGTGGGAGGAGCATTGAATAAATTTGGACAGAAGGAGCACTGGAGGAGGACCAGGCTGGGAAGAGATCACGAATCTAGATTTTGTTGTTGTTTTTGTTTTGAGATAGGGTCTCACTCGTTGCCCAAGCTGGAGTGTAGTGGCATGATCACAGCTCACTGCAGCCTCAAACTCCTCAGTTCATTCTCCCTTCTCAGCCTTCCGAGGAACTGGGACTATAGATGCACACCACCATGTCTGGCTAATTTTCAATTAAAAAAAAAAAGAGATGGGGTCTCAATATGTGGCCCAGACTAGTCTCAGATCAGCCTGGGAGGGTTCCAGTGATTCTCCTGCCTTTGCTTCCCAAAGTGCTGGGATTACAGGTGTGAGCCATTCTCCTGCCTTTGCTTTCCAAAGTGCTGGGATTACGTGTGTGAGCCACTGTGCCAGCCAGGAATCTAGATCTGATGAAGAAAAAAGAGGGAAGGGCTCTCCCCCAGCACCAGGCATGGTCTTAGCTACCTTACAACTGTGGCCCAGAGCCCGGCATGGAATGGCCCTCTCAGCCACAGCACCCCTTCCACCACCTCGCACAGCTTCCAGCCTGGGGAAGCCGCTGGAATCTTGGATTGAGGTGACTAAGGAGAGACCTTAAGAGCAACCCCCTGGCCCTACAGGCATCCTGGCCTCTCCCTGAGGCCCTCCCAAGTCTGTCTATGGGGCACATCTTTGTGTCGGGATCCAGCAGGGGCTCTTGAATCCCAGCCCTACCATCCTGTTCCTAAAATATCTTGAATCTGCCCATTCCTCTCCCTCCCGACTCCCCTGACCCCAGGGAAGTTGGCTATGACTTTGGCTGCTGCATGAGTCTTTCCTGACACTCCATTTGCTTCTACTCCTGCTTTCCTACAGAAAGTTCTCCAGGTTCCTCGGGGGGATCATTTAAAATATTAATCTGATCACATAACTTCTTTGTTTAAAACCAAGGCCAGGTGTGGTGGCTCACACCTGTAATCCCAGCACTTTGGGAGGCCGAGGCAGGTGGATCACCTGAGGTCAGGAGTTCAAGAGTAGCCTGGCCAACATGGTAAAACGCTGTCTCTACTAAAAATACAAAAAAACAAACAAACAACAAAAACTAGCTGGGCATGGTGACGGGCACCTATAATCCCAGCTACTTGGGAGGCTGAGGCAGAAGAATCGCTTGAATTGGGGAGGTGGAGGTTGTGGTAAGCCAAGATCGCGCCACCGCACTCCAGCCTGGGCGTCTAAAAAGAACCCCTGCCCCAAAAAAAAAAAAAAAAAAAAAAAACAACCTCCAGGACACCCAGGATGTGATCCAAAGTCCAGATCCTGGGCTTGCAAAGTTCAGCCTCCCATACCCTGAGCACATGGAGCCTCCAAAAGGCCAGATTTGTTCCTGCCTCAGGGCCTTGGCACTTCCAGTTTTCTCTACAACTTTTTACAGAACTTCTCCTTGTCCTTCTGGGCTTGGCTCAAATGTCACCTTCTCAAAGAGGCCTTCCCTGACTGCTACCCTATCTAGAGAAGAACACTCTCCCCCATGCCCTCGAACTCGTCACCCTGTTCTATTTCTTTCTTAGCGCTTAACACTACTTATTTCATTTATTCATTCAAAAAATGATGACCTACCAATTACTTTGTGCCAGACACCATTTTAGGCTCTGGGAAGCACAGCTGTGAACAAAATGGATGGTTTCTCCTCTTTGCATCAGAAGGCCCTAGGACTCAGCCCTGGCACCTCTTCTCTCTTCTGTCAGTACTTGCTGTTTCATGCCCTTATCCAGTAATGGGCATTGAATGTCATTGAGACAGTGACATGCTTAGCCACCACCAGAAATCCAGAACAGCATATCCAACTGCCTGCCCGACAGCTCCATCTGGGTATCTAACGTGCATCTCAGAGCTACCATGTCCAAAGCTGAATTCCTGACACCTCCTCTGCCCTGCTCCAGACTTGCTCTTCCAACCGTCTTCTCCACCCTTCCAACTGCTCAGCTGAAAACGTTGGAATGGTCCTGGGGCTCTGTCTTTCTCACCTGTTAGCACATGCCATGACCAGTTCTCCCTTCAAAACATCCAGGACCCAACCACTTCTCTTGGTCTCCATTGCCACCATCCCAGCCCAAGTGACAGTCGTGCTGCCTGTGTGATGGTGATGGCCTCTGAACTGGTCCCCAGCTTTCACCCTTGCCCAAGAATAGTCCACTCCCTACTCCCTACACAGCAGCCATTAAAATGAAATCTGGATCAC